CCCCTGAAAGATGTAAATTGATCAATTTACCTTAGACAACTTCACCCAGGCACGTGTGGCACTCTAGCTCCATCAAGCACAGGATGATCTGAAACTCACGAGGGCACACACAGCCCCATCCACAATATCCACAAATTTAGACTGTTGTGGTCAGCATGCTGCTGACGCATAGTCGTGGCAGGAATGTATAGTGTATAGGGTTTTGCCACAGTGCTGGTTTGCTGCATGAACGCAGTATGGGGTTTACTATAGTGCTGGACGAGCGTGAACGTATTGCCAATGGGTGGCATTTTCTTCTCAGCTGGGTTTAGTATATAGTGCTGGTTTGGGCAGATTCATAGATTGCAATTGATTAACGTTCAAATTCCAAAACTGTTTATCATTCCATCACACCAGTTTTATGCTCCAGACACACACTTGAAGAACACAAATAAACTATATTAAGTAAGTATACTTGTGTTTAAACATTCTTTAATTAATGACCACATAGGCAAAAACAGGGTTGGCGTCGTATTTAGCTAAATCAGTACTCAATTTTTGAGTTTGGAATTGTTTTCGTAACTTGAGAGAGAATTAGATTTGTTTTTTTCGGTAATCCATCCATCATTAAACATGATAGCAGCAGATAAAAACTCAACGAAAAGACACATAACCAAAGGAATTGCATCAAATTCATTGACATATGTAAATTGATCTAATTCAGCCTTCTTCGTTTTTCGGTACTTTTGTTGTTGTTGTTGTTGAACTTGTTGTCTTTTTTCTTTTGTGATTGTATGGCCTTAGTGAAGGCACACCGTCATCAACATTAGCGATTCTCGACGTGTGTGGTGTTGCCTGTATGGCTTCTGTTTTGTTACAAGGGCACGGAGACAGTGACCTGCTTTTGATTTCATCACACATCATGATATTCCAGAATCTCTGTCCCGATTCTGTGGACAGAGCTGTACGACGGCTGCAAAGAGAGGTCCTGGAGTAGATTATGGCAATCGGCACCCCTGAAGTGATCGCAGTACCCTTGTTAGTCTGACGCAGCACATAATGGGAACCCCTGCACATCTTTTGCGTGTCAAATTACCTCCGCATTCTGTCTCCGAAGGTCTGTCCGCACCACTCATCTGTCGCGCGCGGCTAGATTTGTCATTGCAAAAGTACCAATTAGCGTCTGCATCCTATCCAGTGACACCTCAGCCAATCTCCAACAAGTGGAATGGAAATCTTGCAAGGAAAGTGGAGTCGGACCCACAAGCATTGTCGCACGAACTAACGTCGAACAAGAAGATGACAGCGCAGAGAGCCGTAAGATGTGGTGCGTTATGCTCGCAACTCCTGAGGAGCAGAAGCAGACGTTCCCTATCTATCCCCTTAGTGGGTGAAGCTGGTTCCGTATTGGTTTCGCAAACCGACAGAGGAGGAGAGCATGCCACCGAGCGTAGGGAGGACGAGTCCGGTGGGAGTCGACGACAGTGTCAATGGCATTGTGGACCTCCTCGAAGGTCCTACGGGGGAGTTCATGTCTTCAGCGGCTTGTCGGTTCCTGGGCGTAACCCTCCTTTCAGTCGGCAAGGAAGTGTGATGGCAGGTGTCAGTACGTTGCGTTGGGAAACGTGTGTTGCTTCATCCTCAAAAGTGTTGCGCCATGCGGGACGGGCCTGGGCACAAGCTGGGACAGAAGTTCAGGTGGCAGAGGACCTGCTTGGCAAGCAGGTTGAGCTAAGGGGGGAGGTCCCAGCATGTGAGGAGGGCATCGCGGAAGAGTCGGAGCCGTTCGCTGCCGGCAGCTTGTTGGAGGTCATCGATGAGAGACGAGGTGGCCATGCACCTGGTCACCACCATGGTGCTGTCAAGGTGCACTCCATGGCAGTCGTCCATCCGGATGCGGTGCTGGGAGAGGGTGTGGAAATTGGCCCCTTCTGTACCGTGGGCCCACTTGTCAGATTGGGCCCGAACTGCAGGATGCTTCCCGGAAGCCATGTCGAAGGGGACACCGAGCTTGGCGAAGGTTGTGTGCTGATGCATGGGGCTGTGGTGGGCGAAGATATCCCCGGAAAGACTATTCTTGGGAAGTTCAACCAAATTGGCCGTTATGCGGTAGTGGGGGTCAAGTGCCAGGACCTCAAGTATAAGGCTGGAGATGAGTGTTTCCTTGTCATTGGAGATCACAATGATATTCGGGAACATACCAGCATTCACAGGTCCTCCAGCGCTGGTTCTCGGACGGAGATAGGGCATAAGAATCTGATCATGGGGCTCTGCCATGTTGGCCATGACTGCCACATCGGCAACAACAACATTTTTGCCAATGGAACTCTTTTGGCAGGTCATGTGGTTTTTGAGGATTACGTGCACGCAGGTGGTGCTACAGCAGTTCATCAGTTCTGTCATGTGGGATCGTATGCGTTCTTGGCGGGTGGGGCTTTGGTCGTCCGTGATGTCCCAGCGTACATAATGGTTGCTGGAGATCGCGCTGAATTTCGTGGCCTGAACGTTGTCGGCATACAACGTGCAGGTTTCCCGGAATATGAAGTACGGTCCCTTCGGCGCGCCTATGCGAAGCTTTTCTTGAACCTGGACTCTAGGAAACCGGCAAGCCTGGTCGATCGTCTTACGATGGTCGAAGATGATGAAGAACTACAGAGCAGCAAGATGGTTGCAGCATTCCTGCAATCGATCCGAAGCTCATTGGGGCCCGACCGAAGAGGCATCTGTAATTTCAGGGCATCAAGTCATTGACTCGCTGTCTTTTGCATGCAAATGTGCATGCCCCTGTCATCCTGCATGCAAATGAGGAAGGTGGGAGAAATCGACGGACTGCTTTCGCACTGGCTTCTCAGTCACAACGGCTAGTTTTCTTTTGTGTGCACTGCTGTCTTCCCCCAAATAGAGCGTATGGTTATTATCATTGCGATATCTGGACTGAAAGTTGCCCCAATACAGCTACAAGGACCGTACGTTTTATTCGGGAGAAGAGCAGAGTATCGATCTGCATGCGAATAAGGACTGTGGGAGAAGTCGTCCTTCCGGACACCCTTTAAACTTTGGAACGATGCCGAGAAGATTATCATGGCACCCTTGCGCAAGGGCCACAAACATAAATCTGGAACGATACAGAGAAGATTACCATCACGACCCTTGCACAAGTATGACAAACATAAATCGAGGAAAGGGGAGTATGAGACGTGGACGGACTGACTGTGTCTCGTTCAATATGACAAGAGCTGCAGGCAACTGGCTTGTCAGAAGCATGGTCACGAGTGTGCAAAGTGGATGGAAATGGCACCAAATGAAGAGACAAAAGGCAAGTGGAATGTATTCATGTCTACCTTTTGCCTCTGTCACAGCATTTGTTAGTTTGCGTTGCAGACCCAACCCCACCTCTCTCCCTCCCCCTTCCCCCCCTCTCTGTTCCCCTCTCCCCCTCAAAACCAGTCAACTGGCCAAAGATAGGGCATCGGTAAGTCATGAGATGGTGTGCCTTGCCTGGCAGAGTTTGAGCGCGCCTTCCCTGGTGGAGCTCAAGCTTTGTCACGCATGATTACTTTTTCGTACTCGTTCACGGGAATGGAGGTCAGCTTTTGCTACAGTGTGTCTGTGCTGCTTTGGGTAGAAGTGTTTGGCATTACAACAAAAGAAAGAAACAAAAAGGATTTGAAATTATTATGGGATAGTTTGGCTGGTCCCCTTGGATTGGACAAGAATTGCAGCTCCGTGTGCTGCACTCTGCATGTCCAGAAATCAGGAAGGGTGGTACAGGGTGCTGCTGCGGTTTTGGTCGGAGAAAAAGGTAGGTGTGGCTGCTGTGCCACAGAATGTCCTCATGTGCTCAGTTACAAGGGTACATCAGTAAAAGGGCACGCATGCATGTTCCGGTGTGTTCAAGCACATCCTGGGCTGAATGATTCAACCTCCTGATCAGTTAGTCGGTGGAGTTCCTATGAAGGTGTTGCACCGTGCCATTTTTCGGCACTTGCATACAGCAAAACTTCCGCTGCAAAAACGATGACAGAGGAGGGGGCGGGATTTGCATGTATGTGTGCTGGGGGGGGGCAGCGACAGCGAGCGCGTGCCCACACGATGGATGGATATATATATATATATATACATACATAGAGAGAGAGAGAGAGAGAGAGAGAGAGAGAGAGAGAGAGAGAGAGAGAGAGAGAGAGAGAGAGAGAGAG